GCAAGTTGTTCAGTTTCCATGAAGCTGTGCAGTTCTGGGTTAGTTTTTGAATTCTGAGTTCTAACTTGATTGCACTGTGGTCTGGGAGACTGTTTGTTACGATGTCCGTTCTTTTGCATTTGCTGAGGAGTGATTTACTCCCAATTATGTGGTCAATTTTAGAGTAGGTGTGATGTGGTGCTGAGAAGAGTGTATATTCTGTGGATTTGGGGTGGAGAGTTCTGTAAATGTCTATTAGGTTTGCTTGGTTCAGGTCTGAGTTCAAGTCCTGGATATCCTTGTTAATTTTCTGTCTGGTTGATCTGTCTAATATTGACAATGGGGTGTTAAAGTCTCCCACTATTATTGTGTGGGAGTCTAAGTCTCTTTGTAAGCCATTAAGAACTTGCCTTATGTATCTGGGTGCTCCTGTATTGGGTGCGTATATATTTAGGATCGTTAGCTCTTCTTGTTGCATTGATCCTTTTACTATTATGTAATGTCCCTCTTTGTCTCTTATGATCTTTGTTGCTTAAAGTCTAATTTATCAGAGATGAGAATTGCAACTCCTGCTTTTTTTTACTCTCCATTTGCTTGGTAAATCTTCCTCCATCCCTTTATTTTGAGCCTTTGTGTATCCTTGCATGTGAGATGGGTTTCCTGGATACAGCACACCGATGGGTTTTGGCTTTTTATCCAATTTGCCAGTCTGTGTCTTTTGATTGGGGCATTTAGTCCATTTACATTTAGGGTTAATATTGTTATGTGCGAATTTGATACTGCCATTTTGGTGCCAGCTGGGTGTTTTGCCCTTTAGTTGAGCTGGTACGTGTTGTTCCTTTATATGTGTAGAGCCTCTTTCAGAAGCTCTTGTAAAGCAGGCCTGGTGGTGATGAAATCTCTGAGTGCTTGCTTGTTCACAAAAGATTTTATTTTTCCTTCGCTTATGAAGCTTAGTTTGGCTGGATGTAAAATTCTGGGTTGAAAGTTCTTTTCTTTAAGGATGTTGAATATTGGCCCCCACTCTCTTCTGGCTTGTAGGGTTTCTGCTGAGAGATCTGCTGTGAGTCTGATGGGCTTCCCTTTGTGGGTAACCCGACCTTTCTCTCTGGCTGCCCTTAGTATTTTCTCCTTTATTTCAACCCTGCTGAATCTGACGATTATGTGCCTTGGGGTTGCTCTTCTTGACGAATATCTTTGTGGTGTTCTCTGTATTTCCTGGACTTGAATGTTTGCCTGCCTTGCTAGGTTGGGGAAGTTTTCCTGGATAATATCCTGAAGAGTATTTTCCAGCTTGAATTCATCCTCTTCGTCACATTCAGGTATGCCTATCAAATGTAGATTAGGTCTTTTCACATAATCCCACATTTCTTGGAGATTTTTTTCATTCCTTTTTACCCTTTTTTCTCCAGTCTTGCCTTCCCGTTTTATTTCATTGAGTTGATCTTCAGCCTCTGATATCCTTTCTTCTGCTTGGTCAATTCGGCTGTTGATACTTGTGCATGCTTCGTGAAGTTCTCGTGTTGTGTTTTTCAGCTTCATCAATTCACTTATATTCCTTTCTATTTTGTCCATCCTCGTTAGCATTTTGTCAAATCTTTTGTCAAGGTTCTTAGTTTCTTTGCATTTGATTAGAACATGTTCTTTAAGTTCACAGAAGTTTCTTACTACCCACCTTCTGAAGTCTGATTCTGTCATTCCATCACACTCGTTCTCCAACCTTGTTCCCTTGCTGGTGAGGAGTTGTGATCCCTTGTAGGAGGAGAGGTGTTCTGGCTTCGGGTGTTTTCATCCTTTTTGCGCTGGTTTCTTCCCATCTTTAAGGATTTATCTACCTGTCGACTTTATAGTTGCTGCCTTTCAGATTGGGTCTCAAATCTTTCAGATTAACGTTCTGTTTGTTGATGATGAGGTTATTTCTGTTTCTTGGTTTTCCTTCTGACAGTCTGCCCCCTCTGCTGTAGGTCTGCTGAGATTCACTCCAGGCCCTGCTTGCCTGGGGTTCATCTGCAGCAGCTGCTGAACAATAAGGGTTGTTACCAGTTTTCTTCTTCTGCTATCTTTGTCCCAGAAGGATACCCGCCTAGTGTCAATCTGATCTCTCCTTTATGAGGTGTCTCTTTGGATATTTAGGGGTCAGGGAGCTGCTTGAGGAGACGGTCTCTTCTTTATAGGAGCTCAAATGGTGAGCTGTGAGCTCTGTTGTTCATTCAGAGCTGCTGGGCAGGTACGTTTAGGTCTCCTGCAGCAGAACTCATAAACTGCTTTTTGTTCCCAGGTGCTCTGTCCCAGGGATTTAGGGCTTTATTTATGAGTTACTGTTATGCTGCTGCCTTCTTTTTTTTTTCCCTTCAGATCTGCCCTGCCCAGCAAGGAGGCAGCCTAGTCACTGTCGGCCTGTAGAGGCTTTGCTGAGCTGCTGTGGGCTCCGCCCAGCTGCCGAGTGAACTTCCCTGCCATCCTGTTTATATGGGTGTAGTTAGAACTGCTTTGGTGGCCGGGCGTGGTGGCTCACGCCTGTAATCCCAGCACTTTGGGAGGCCGAGGCAGGTGGATCACAAGGTCAAGAGATCGAGACCATCCTGGTCAACATGGTGAAACCCCATCTCTACTAAAAATACAAAAAATTAGCTGGGCATGGTGGTGCGTGCCTGTAATCCCGGCTACTCGGGAGGCTGAGGCAGGAGAATTGCCTGAACCCAGGAGGCGGAGGTTGCGGTGAGTCGATATCGCGCCATTGCACTCCAGCCTGGGTAACAAGAGCGAAACTCTGTCTCAAAAAAAAAAAGAACTGCTTTGGCGTTGGTGGCCCGCCTCTGTTGAGGCGGAGTCTCTCTGCTGTGGGGGGTTGCCTTGGCAACGGCGGGCTGCCTCGGCAATGGCAGGTTGCCTTGGCAATGGCGGGCTGCCTCAGCAATGGCGGGTTGCCTTGGCAATGGCGGGCTGCCTCAGCATTGGCCGACTACCTCCGTCGTGGTGGGTAATGGCGGACGCCCCTCCCCCACAGAGCTGGACCGTCGGGGGGTTCAACTGCGCTTGCTGTGAAACTCTCAATCCAGAGTTTCTGGTTGCTGTTCTTTTGTGGAGGTGGGACCAGCCGAGCCTGATCGCCTGGCTGCCTGCCTCAGAGCCTTTTTTAAGTTTGTGTTCCCGTCACCTGTTGAAGAGGCGCCGGGGTCTGTTTGTTTTCCCCTGCGGCCACTCACTGCGCTGGCTTAAACAGCGGCACTGAGGTTTGTGGTGCTTTTTTTTTTTTTTTGCCCCAATCTACTGTCCTGGTTCCCTGCTCGGTCCCCTTTTTAAACAGACGAATGGGCGACTTCCCGTGGCTTCAATCGCCAGCCAAAAGGGCACCCGGACCAGTGTATTTTGTAGGGAGAACCGCTGCTCCAGGGCGCCGACAAAGCAGCCGCGCGGGGCAAAGCAGCAGTGCCGGCCAGCACAGCCGGGCTGGCCGAAACAGCCGCGCTGGTGACCTGTGGAGCTTCTTCGCCTGGGAATTTCCTAGTCTGTGGGCAATAAAAATGTGGCGTCCACTCACCCTCTGCACTTTCACTGGGAGCTGCAATCCTGAGCTGTTCCTAAATGGCCATGTTGGATCCTCCCCCGCCATCATTGTTTGTAATTGGTATCATTTTGAATACTTGAGAAATCCAAATAAACTGCTACTAGAAACAGTGAAATTATCTTCATTGGTACATATTTAATATAATTTTTCTATATGCATACAATCAGAAAATATGAAGATTCTTGATATAACAGCAGCAGAAATAATAGAAAAAATATGCAGAATTTATATAAAAAGACTATACTTGCTAATGCATGTAAAAGAAGATTTAAAGAAATGGAAGCAACATGTATTGTTTTGGGATCTGAAGATTCAATGTTGAACAGATATAACTATAAATAGCCTACATTATTGAATAAAGTAATTTTAATAATTTTAGTTTTTGAAACTTAAGCTGATTCTAAAATTCACATGGAAACTGATACATATGGATCAAAAATAAAACTTCTAGAAGAAAATATTGATTATTTTACTTTTCCTACCTTTTTAAATTACGGAGATAAATCAAAAGACCTAAAGGAAATTAAAGATAAATTTGCTAACATAAAGATTTAGAAAATAAACATAATACAAAAAAATACCACAAAGGTAAAAAATGAACTGAGAAAAATATTTACAGTATGTTTACTTGATAAGGGGCTATGTTCTTTTTTAATTATATTTCAAGTTCTGGGATACATGTGCAGAGTGTGCAGGCTTGTTACATAGGTATATACGTACCATGGTGGTTTGCTGCATCCATCAACCCGTCACCTACATTAGGTATTTCTCCTAATCCTATCCCTCCCCTAGCCACTGATGCCCTGATAGGCTCTGGTGTGTGATGTTCCCCTCTCTGTGTCCATGTGTTCTTATTGTTCAACTCCCACTTATGAGTGAGAACATGAGGTATTTGGTTTTCTGTTCCTGTGTTAGTTTGCTGAGAATGATGGTTTTCAGCTTCATCCGTGTCCATGCAAAGGACATGAACTCATCCATTTTTATAGCTACATAGTATTCTGTGGTATATATGTGCCACATTTTCTTTATCCAGTCTATCACTGATGGGTATTTGGATTGGTTCCAAGTCTTTGCCATTGTGAACAGTGCTGCAATAAACATACATGTGCATGTGTTTTTATAGTAGAATAATTTATAATACTTGGGTATATGCCCAGTAATGGAATTGCTGGGTCAAATGGCTTTCCTGATTCTAGAGTGCCCATTTGTGTTTTAACAAAATATATAAACTAAAATTTATTTATACATGTTGTCTGGAAGGATGCACAGGAAACTGTTGATGATGGTTGTCTCTGGGAGTTTGAAGTACGGGATGGATAATGGGATGTTTTAATTGTATAGTCTGTTTTGAACAGTTTGAATTTTGTTTATTATGGATGTACAATTTTCACAATAAGAAACAAAAGTTTTTTGTTTTGTGTGTTACTTATATTTTTTTCTTGGATTTTTCCAGATTTCTCTTGCACTTTGTTTTGTTTTGATGTTTGGGAACTCAATGTTATTAACTTCTTACTATGCTTCTTCTTTGGTAATTATTTGGGTAAGTATTCCTTAACACTTATATGGTTGTTTTTTGAAACAAATGGCTTAACAATTTCTTCTTCACTGGCTTAGGATTCGTGAAGGTTTTCTATAGGAACTACCTCAAGTATCTTACTGAATATTCTAGATATGATGGTGTTCAAGTACTCACTTCCAAAACAGGAAAAAAAAAAAGGAAAATTAGCATCATTTCAGAAATGTTTCTAAGCTTTCTTCTCCCTTCCTCCTTTCCGTTTTTATCCTACTCCTGCTCCATTTTCTGAACCCTTTCTTCTCACTGCAATCTTGTAACGGCCAGTCCTCTTCATTCCACTGTGATCAGAAGATCAAGGCCTTGGTTACTTAGGGTTTTTTTCTTTGTTTGTTTGTTTCATTTGGTTTTAGCCTCTTGTCTACTCGTATGGAATATTCAGATGGTTTAAGTAAGGTGATGATTTGGTTTTATATTGCTCAATCACTACCAAAAATAGCTTTAGATGATGGAGAGGTTATTTTACAAAATTAGAAGTGATGGAAGTTCATATCATTTCTTCTGCTGCATTTCACAGGATGACTTTATAAATATAAAAGTCTTCTAAAATTTAATGACTGCCTTTTTTTTGGGTGGATTTCCCATTAAAAAGTTTTGCAAACTTATTATTTCTTATATTTAAAGTGCATGTGCTTAAGTTTCCTGATGACTTTAAAAGCATATTGTACTGTCATAATTGGAATGTATTCTACTTCTTGAATAATTAAGTTACTCAGATCATTTGGGGTTTCTTAATTACTAGAACTCATTAAATTTGAAACCACCTTACTCATTTATTTAACAAATAATATTTATTTAAAAACTCATTTCTCAAGAATATGCCTCTTCCCAGTCTGGCCCAACACCCTTTTCAGATTGTTCCTTGAGTATATTTAGCCACAGAAATTAGCAGTTAGCGTGATGCTGTTTTCAGAAACAAGAAACATCATAACTTTGGGATTAATAAGTATAGTTCTTAAGTTCTGTGTACTCTGTTTATTATTAGGAAAGATGAAAAAGAACTCATTTGTATATTTGACATATGTACTTTGTCAAGTACTGCTATCACCCAGGATAAAGTATGTGAATCTTGGTACTATGGACAGGGAAACCATTGAATCGAATATTACATATAAATAAAATCCAATTTAAGTACATTTTGTAGGAAATTTCTCTTCAATTCTATATGTGAGGTATGCTGCTAGATGCTTCACACTGAGGTGCGTCTTAGGTATGAAGTAAGCATATTTATGTATATTGTGTATATTTTAGTGTATAAAAAAATGATAACAGAATACGGCATGTTTGTGCATATTTAACTATAAACACATATTTGCATATATTTATAATTAATCACTTTGGGACCTGAATTGTATCACATTTTGTATTTTCAGATATTCAGAAACTTCCAAAAAGATTTAATTTGGTTTCAAGTATTCATGGTTTGATCTCTAATCATATTTTTTGCCATATTTGAAGTAGTTTTAGCTCCCTAAGGGTAATACAGTTTGGGAGTGTTAATACCTGAAAATACTTAAGATTTAGCAAGAGAAATATTTAGTTGATCCATTACAATTTCATTTGTTATTTACCCTAAGAGTCAGTAATTTTTAGCAAAGGAAAATCTTATGCCTGTATGACTGCTGGCCAAAATTCTGAAATTGTTATGTACTTCGTGGCTAATAGATAAATCAGATGTCAGATCAGTCCTAGACATTAACATATGGTGATTCCTTTTCAACTTTAAAAAGTCGTGCACTCATCTAATTTACTCTGGATAATAGGGCAATACCTTGAAGTCACTGACTATAGAAATGAGCATGTGTATGGAATGGGGAAAATTGACCATGTGCTAAATTGTAGATACTTGAGAATCTTATTATTTAGAAGAATTTTTTGGTACTTGAATTTAAGTCTGTAAGTATTAACTATATACTATGTTATTTTCTCTATTCAGGGTATTCTGGCAATGAAACCACATTTCCTGAAAATAAATGTATCTGAACTTAGTTTATGGGTAAGAATCAATCTATTTTAATGCTTATGTTTTTTCTTCTCTAAAATATATCATTGGTTTATGTTTTACTTTTAAGAAAATAATCTATGTAATGCAGGGGATCCAACAGTTTTATAGTATATTAGGGCTCAATTTTAATGTACCAAATTGCACTTTTTATGAAACAGGTCAAAGTTAATCTTTGATATGTAGTTAAAGAATTCCAGTTGTATTTATTACTCTTGTTTCTTCTGAGAAACAGTGCATGTATAAGAAGTGTAAAGGGAAATTTACCTGCAGTGGTTGTGTAAATCTTCTATAAAATATATTAATTTTTATAAGATTATATGATTATATTTTTATTTTTAGTTATTGCCTCTTGATTTTGAGCAACATTCTTGATTTTAAATTGAGATACATGTTTTAGCATTTTCTCTTGTAGGTAGCTATGTGTATTTCATGTATGAGTAAAGCATTTATTTTTTTCTTCCTAGCCTATGTCTATGGAATATGAAGCATGAAAGTTTTTTTTTTTTCTTTTTTTAGGTTATTCAAGGATGTTTTTGGTTATTTGGAACTGTCATACTCAAGTACTTGACATCTAAAATTTTTGGTATTACAGATGATGTAAGTGCATTTTTGCTTAAACTTGAAAGACTTGAAAATAATCAAATAGGCTAAGAATAAATTGTTTGATGTAATCCCAGCACTTTGGGAGGCCGAGGTGGGCGGATCACAAGGTCAGGAGATCGAGACCATCCTGGCCAACATGGTGAATCCCCGTGTCTACTAAAAATACAAAAATTAGCTGGGCATAGTGGCGCATGCCTGTAATCACAGCTACTCAGCAGGCTGAGGCAGGAGAATTGCTTGAACCCAGGAGGCGGAGGTTGCAGTGAGCCGAGATTACGCCACTGCACTCCAGTCTGGTGCCTGGCGATGGAGCGAGACTGTCTCAAAAAAATAAAATAAATTGTTTGAGTTGTTCAAGTATCATTAAATGAAATTCTACAATGAAGTCTGTTCAACTATTATTTTATGTATTTAATATACTAGAAAGTAAATGTAATTGTATATAGATTTTTGTTTTCCAAAATTAGTTTCTTGAGACAATCTCTTATTTTATTGATCCTTCTATATTACTAAAATTTTAAGGCAGGAAACTTCTAGAGATTAAAGATCAAATTTTAAGGTCTATAACAGTCATTTTTCTCTAGCTTATTTGTAACTGGTAAAGACACCATCTTCAGAGCCTTAACTGGTGATTGTATTATAGTCTCATTCTTTTTTCTCCCCAGTTTTCAAGTCATTACTTGTAAAAGGCTTTTATAAGTCTTTATAGATAATTTAATCCAAATTAGTCTTACTTAGAGAAGATTTTTATTTGTTTTTGGTATTAGGGCAGGAGGGAAGATAAAATGAAAAGTCTGTCTTATAATTTTAAGGATCCTCCTTGTCCGCAATTGCTTTGCCTATTTTATTTTGGTGTTTTAATCAGCACATCCTAAGTCAGGAGGCTAGCAAAGATTTAATTTAAAAAAGAAAGCAGCACAAGAACCAACATGAAAGAAATAAACTACTTTTTCCCCCTATAATTTATTTTGATGGATGCTGTTTCTTTCTGAACGAGATTAATGCTATAGTTTTGAAACTGGGTTATGTGGAGTTCTAGGACTTTCAGGACTCTTCCCTGAGGGCTCTCTACTCCCCCAGCTCCTAGCCCCTCTTTTACCCAGGACAGTTTAACCTTAATCTCTTTTATTTAGGTTTTCTTAAGGACAAGGGTTATTTTGGCTTAAAACATTGAAAACACATGAGCTATTAAATGGGTGGTCTACAATCTGTGGAAAGATTTTTAAACTATAAAAGTATAGTTGAAAATATATTCATTCAGTACGTCCTGTGTGCCTGACAGTAGAAGGAATCCTAGAGATACAAAACTGAGTAAGATAACGGTCTAGCGGAAAATTTGGAAAAGAGGAACAATTTCTAGCAGTTATAGTACAATGTAATGAAGGCTATGATAAAAAATTAAGTACAGAGTGCTGCAGGGATACACAAGAGGAGCATCAGGGAAGGATCCTAGAAGTCAGCTATGAGAATGAGAGCTGACAGGCGGGTGAGTCAGCCAATATGCAGAGCATGAGCAGGAAGGCAAGTGAAATAGCCCTAGTCCTGCGTTTATGAAATCTGTTTTCCTCACTGGGGGAAAATGAACCAGTTACGGTATTAATTCAGGTTAAAGCGATTGTTGTCATTTTCTGTCATAGCCTAAAATCATGCCAGGTCCAAAAAAAAAGTGCTGTAGACTTCGTTATTTGCAAATCAGAAATAATTTAGTTGTAACTTTAGCATTTCTAGAAATATGTAACGTCGGTCAAGGGCATCGGCTCAAATTCTTAATTTTGACATTGGTTAAAGGAAGAGAGTGGCAAGGCTACCCAGCCTTTCATTTCCTGCTGAGTTCTCCACTTTTACTGATAGTACCTCTGAGCAAAGGTTTTTAACTCTCCACCCCAAATCAGGTCAGTGTGCTCCAGTAGCAAAGGTTCTGTTTTTGACCAGTCACACTCCTCCCTGCCCCCTTCAAAAGAACTGTTGCACTAATAGTATGAGGGAGGTGGTGGTGGTGCTGAGGGTGGATGGGAGCAACCTAGGTAAAAATGCCACAGACTCCCACTGTTTTTACCTAGACTTTCTGAATTTTTTTTTATGAATGAATGCTTCACACATTGTTGCTTCCTTTTGGTCAGTTTCTAGAACCTGATATGAGTTTTGTTTTTTTTTTTAATAGTTTTTTCCAATTTTAAAGTTGTTTTGGGGAATGGGAGTTACCAACTTCCTCACTCTGACATTTGGAAGTCTCCACATTTTTCAATATATGAATATTGATCTAGCTTGTATCCTGGGATAAACTTCACCTGCTCAAATGTAGTATTTTTCTATATTGGTGGATTTGGTTAATATTTATAAGGATTTTTGTCTATATTCATGAGGAATATTTGTTGTACTTTTCTTTTCTTGTAATGGTTTTGTCTGGTTTTGGTTTCAGAGTAATATTGTCTCCTAAAATTATTTGCAAGTTTTCTGTCTCCTGTTTTCACAGAGATTTTTGTGTAGAATTGTTACTACCTCTTCCTTAAATGTTTGGTAGAATTTGGCAATGAAGCCCTCATGGCTTGGAACATTCTTTGTGACTAGGCTTTTTACTGCAAATTCAATTTCATTAGGAAGTTCTCCATTTCATCTGGAGTGAGGAATTTGCCCATTTTGTATATGTCATCAAATGGATAATGCTTTTTTAATTTAGTCAGTTAAATTCTTATTGGAATTTTTGTGTATGTGTCTATATGGAAAATGACCTTTTGTTCTTTTATTGACTTCTCCTTATTTGGATTTGGAATTAATATTGGTCTCCTATTAAGAGGTTTTTTTTTTGGAGTCCTTTTTTTCTATTTTTTCTACTTTCTGGCAACTTGTGAAATGTTGTTTTTTTTTTTTTTTAAGTTTAATAATTCATCTATGTTAACCACCTGAGCCTAGGGCTTTTTGGGAGGGAAAATACTTGATTTCTACTTCAGTGATTTGAATACTTTTTCTTCTATTCAAGTTTTCTGTTGCTTTTTGTGCCAATTTTGGTGTTCTGTGATTTTCCGTAAATGCATCCATTTTACCTAGGTTTTACAATTTATTAGCAAATTGTATAGCATACTCTTCTTATTTTAATTATGTTGAGTCCATAGTTATTTCTCCCTTTTTCATTTTGCTTTTTGTTTGCATCTTTTATTTTCTTCATTTTACTTGCTCTAGAGGTCGGTTTATTGTTTTATCATTTTTAAAGTCACATCTTTTTTTAGTCCTCTTTGGTTTTGTTGTGTTTCTCTTTGTCACCAGTTTCTGTCCTTATTGCTTCTTTTTGTTTCCTCTTATCTCATACCCAAGGGAAAATGCTTAGCTCTGTTGTTTTCACCTCTCTTATTTTCTAATCAATGCTTTTAAAGCTAAAATTTTCTTATAAGTATGTAGTATTGTATATGTATCTTACAGATTGGCTGTTTGTGACTTTTTTAAAGGTTAAGTTTTATGATATTTAGTTTCCAATCAAAATAATTTTTAAAGCAATTTCTAGTTATTTTCTAGTTTTATTGCATTTATAATCAGAAATATATATATGGAATTTATTGTTACATGGTTTGTGAATATTAAAATATTTTACTTGTGTTCAAGAATAATGTGTATTCTCTTTGTGAACTTTATATTTTCTGTGAGCTAATTGATTGTATTCAGCTTTTATGTTAACTTTTGTCAACTTTTTTATTCTAGGAGGCAGTGTTTAACATTTTCAATGAAAACCGTCAACTTTCCTATTTCTTCATATAGTTTTTTCAGCTCTTATTCTGTGTGCTTTGCATCTGTGTTTTTAACTGCAGATATGTTGGCAATATGTATAATCTTTTTAATTTTATTAGCATATAATATCTCTTTTCATGTATTTCTTGCTTGAATTCAGTTTGTGAGACATTATAATTGCTGACAGGTTTCTTTGTTTCAAACTTACCTGGTGTATCTTCTTCCATTCTTCTATTTTCAACCGTTCAGCATACTTTTAAGTATATCTTTTATTGATAACATAATATTGGATTTTTTTCCCTTAAGTCCAGTTTGAGCATCTGTCCCTTAATTAGTGAATTTACACTCTTTACATATATGATAATTGTCATAATACTAGGACTTAGTTTCTTTAATTTTGTATGAGATTTGTTTTCTTATGCTGTTTTAGGTGCTGTATAGTCTTCCTTTTGATTTATTAAATTTATTAGCATATATTTCTTCACCCAACAAGACACAGTATTTTGAAATGCTTCATCACATACCCACCTTTTAGTTCCTACTCTTACCCTGTTCCTTCTGCTTCATGTAGATATCACATGGAATTGTAGTCATGGTTTGTCCTAGATATAATTTCTCCTCTTTTCTTTCGTCTTTGCAACATCTATCTAAATAAAGACTATTAGCTAAGACCGTAGAATAGAAAGCTCATGCATGCCCTCTTTTGCCAGATGTTTGGCAAATTGAACATTTGGTAAATGTTTTTTGTCTTCGAGCCCTAGTTTTCTTATTTATAAAGTGAAAATAATTCCACATTCCTCATGTGGGTTTTTTCAGGAGGTAAATGTGGTAGTATGAGTGAGAATGCTTGATAACATGTAAATAATTATGTGAGAGTTGATTGTCAGTCAGAAAGTGCCTTTTATTCCAATGCCTACCCATTTCTACTTCACTCAAATACTCTTTTCAATCTTCTTTTCAGAATTAGGATTTCCTTTTCTTTACCCCATAGCCTTTTGTCCTTTTATGATTAAGAGAAGTCTGTATGTGTTCCCAAGCCCGCAGCTGCTGGTAGGCTCCAGCAAAGGAAATACTATGTAGCCTGTTTCACCAGGTTTAGCACAGTAAGCTGGGAAAACCCAAGGGAAAAGGCCTTTGGGATGTCGAGTGAGGAAGGTAGGGTGTCGTTGGAGCTATCACTTACCAGCAAAAGAAGGGATAATAGCATTTCCTTCTTTAACAAAAGCAGTCTTGGTATGAGAACAGTGGGCTCCATAATATAATGAAAACTCTTTCAGATACTATTGAAGTTAAAATATATTATTGCAGTATATGGCTTAATGTAATGGTAATTTTATTTCTTACCAGGCTCATATTGGCAACTTATTAACATCAAAATTCTTCAGTTACAAGGATTTTGATACTTTATTGTATACCTGTGCAGCGGAGTTTGACTTTATGGAAAAAGAGGTAAGATGCGATTTCTAGTTCTGTTTCCTAAGGTTTTGGCCCATACATTTTTCATAAAGGGTATTCCTCTTATATCAGACTCTGTGTGTACTGTTATCTCAGTTTGAAGGAAAGGAAAATCTGGCAGCTTAGGGGAAGATATTTCTGTTTACATTAGTGCAGCTCCCTGAAATATATGGCCTTTACTCGTTTTGATAATTTAGAAATATACATTCAAACTAAAAGTGGTTTTCCAGGTGAGTAAACACAAAGGCATTTCAAGTTGCCATTTTTCAGTGATAGCATTAATTTAGTCATGCTCTCAAACTCCTACATTTTCACTCATTTTGTGGTTATTTAAATAGATATTTGCTTTGAAACATCAAGTCCAAGCTTTTCATTCCAACAGCATTTTTCTTTCTAAAACCGTATTCAGATGTTTAGAAGGAAAGCAGAGAGTAGTTTAGTGGATTGTGAGACAGAACCCTGCAATTTTGCTTGATGTTCTTGAACAAGCAACTCTCATTCCTTGTGTTATAGTTTACTAGTTTCTAATAGCATGCCATAAACAGATATTGCAAAGACAAAATGAGATAATGCATAGGAAAACACTTTGATATTTTAAAGAAATATTTAAATAAATAAAATATTAATTTGCAGTACTTTATGAGATGGTTCAGTTCATCCAACAACAAACATGTATATATGTGCCTTTTTTCACACCATCCATGTGGTACTGATTAATTATATTATCAGTGACACATTTTCCTTCAAAGTCGTGTGTGTGTGTATGTATAATTGAAACTGGCCAACAATACTCTATTGACATGTAGTATCCCTAATGATACTATGTGTTACCCCAGTGTCCAGAACTCTAGACCAATGGATGGCAGGGCACCACAGAGCAAACTTTTATCTACCAGTCATTCTGAGTTGAGTGTGTCCTGCAGAGGTACTGTTTACTCCAGTGGCCTGTCAGTCTTCATTTCTTGGTTCCAGCAAATGGTTTTGACACACAATGGCTGACAAAGGTATATGAGTTATAGTGTTAAACCTGCTGAAACAAATAGAGGAAGCATATCTTGCAAGACATTGAAATGCATGTTCACAGGAGATCAAGACTCCTTCAAATATTAGAGAATCAGGATGTGGTAGAAGTTCTTTCATGTTATTAAGAACATCATACATACTGCTACAACCTGAGAGTACTAAATGTAAGTTATGTGATGAAAGAAATAATTTATAAGACATAGCATGACTTCAGTTAATTTGAAGAAAATAGCAAAGTTGTTTCCAGCATGCCATTCCTCATCACTGCAAGTGTCTGAATTCACAGGGACTGTGCTGTAGAGACAGGGTAGAATGCCAGTTCAGGGAACATATGTTCCAATTACAGTACACACATCCAGTGGAGAAGAGGGGAACATTTAACATGGTATTTCCTAACATGATATCAGCTTTTCATATGACATGAAAAGATGCTTAAGATATATAATGGAGTAAACAAAATGATGCAGTCTTATTAACCCATAATTAACACACATAAAAGTAAAAAAAAGTGTAAAACTGTGGTTTTTTTGGGTGGAGAGATAATTAAGGGGTGCACAGGATCACAATGTGTAGAGCTTTGTTATTAAACTTATTTCTGTAGTTTTTTTTCTGTTACTAAAGAAAATGTAAAAGTGTGTTTTGTTCTCCTCATAAACATTGATCATTATTTTGTTTGTGCGTGAGAGAGAAAGTGTGTGTGTGTTTCAAGGATAATATTTTCATCCCCCACAAAATATACAGGAAAAGCTTATTATATTTAAAGGAGCTTTACTTATGTTAGGTAAATATTAAGTTGGTCTCTCTAGTTAGATAAGTAGCATGCAAAAAGTGAACAGTAATCTCTTCAGTCACATTTCACACTTACAGGTGTTTGGGTACTGTATTTTTAGTGTTTCAACTCAGCATTTTGGGGAAGTTCATTTCTTTGTAAATGCACCTGCCTTTTTTTGATGGCAGTCAGTGGGTAGATTGGTGAAGTTCATATTTCTCTAGTTTTAGAAATTCATCTATTTCATTATTTGAAATGAAGTTTTGTTTGGTTAAAATATTTTCTTCTAACAAAACATCTCTTTGTATTTCAGACTCCACTGAGATACACGAAGACATTATTGCTTCCAGTTGTTCTTGTAGTGTTTATTGCAATTGTTAGAAAGGTATGTCCATCACTTAAGAGGTCGTTCTTATAGTAAAATACTTTCTTGTTTTTATGTAGTAGTTCCATATACTTGGCCACATATTAATCTGAAACTGTGTTTTGTATGGGCTTACTGTAACATATTCTATGTTTTCTTAGTGATAGTTTTTCATAGACATTTATACATCTTCATTCTATCTGCTAGCGTAAAATAGACATAGGAAATGGATGGCTCAAGTTTTGATAGTCATGTATTTTGGAAGACATGATCAGAGACCATATTGACCCAGATGCAAGTTGCCTGTGTAAATTATTACTGGCTTTTAAGTTAAATATTTTTCTAAAATGTTTACTATATGCCTTTCTAAGTGATTTGTCCAGTGTGCACTAACTCCTGGATTGTGTTTATTATTCATCAGAAAGAAAAAAATAGAGTATTTGCAGTGTGTTGATGAACTAGATAAAATGTTTATGTTCCCAACTTGGCTTTGATAGTAAAATTCTAAGCCCAGATATAAATAAGGTCAAAGAAGACTAACTGTTTAACAAACAAGAGCAAGTGTGATATTCCTTTTCTTTTTTTCTTTCCAGGATTGTGCATTATGTAACCAAATGTGTCTTAAGAGAGTGAATAGAAATTAATCTGTGGTGGAAAAAGAGATTACGGACCTTAAAAGTTTCCTGATCTGTAGCCAGTGATTTCTGTGTTAACACAATTTCGTTTATTTGTAGAATATTCTGAACTATAACAGTTGTTCACATTATATATTGGAGATAGGATTTTAGATTAGATGACCTCCCTGTTACTGCTAAATATGAAAGCATGGTGACTGTTTTTCAAATGCTTCTAGCTGTAATTATCAACCTTTGAGCCAGCTCTCTAGTTGTGTGTACAATTAAGGAGAGGTATTGCCAACAATGTTGGTGTGGTGGCAGCTGCACTGAATGTGAATTTGAAGCCAGAAGATTTGGGTTCAAGACTGTAATGCTTCTTAGTAGTGTCTACTTTCAGGGAGATTATTTAATCCATCTGAGCCTGTTGTTCATTTACAAAATGAGGATGATATAATCTACCCAACACAGTTGTTGAATATTAGCTTTAATCAAATACTATTCAAATGTAAGATTATGTTGTTGTGATTATTATTTTCTAAGTTATCTCTTGTCTTCATACTTATAGTTTTCATTAAAAGTTTTACAGTTTAGAAGATACTTTAGTTAAAATATTATTTTCCCCAACACAGCTTTTCTAAAGTGTTTCAAAATCTATTTACAGATTATTAGTGATATGTGGGGTGTCTTAGCTAAACAACAGACACATGTAAGGTAAGTATGCTATTAAGAATTTTGTTAACCTACTCTGTTCATTTATTAAATAGATATTTACAGTGTATTGATTTTATACTTACATGTTATATGCCTAATATTTGATAATTGATGTGTTTATTGTGGTCATTTCCCTTCTTAGCATTTCTCCTTATTTCCTGGCTATGCAGAACACAGCACATCACTTATTCATCCTTCAGATGTCATCCGGTACAATCTGACAGTAGCCCTGCACATAATCTACATTTGAAGGGCACGGTTTTGTACTTCAGCAGGGAAAGTAAATTATTATGTGAGTGGTTTTAGGACCAGTGGACTGCCTTTTGGGAAATGAGCAGGGAAATATAAAACTGAATTCATACCTCACTTTTTACATAAAATAAATTTCAGATGAAGCAGAGAATTAGGTGTAGAAAAAAAAAATGAATCCCCAAAATTAACCCAAAGGGTATGTTTATAATCTTAGAGAGGCCTATGGCATGCTTGGTATTTTCCACCATCACGCCCTATATCTTCCTCTTTTACCATTTATCACCTTTGTTCTTAAATACTGATGTGTCACCTGTATCTCCTGAAGAGACCGATCACTTGTTCAACACTTTATATACAATTCCTGCAAGATTGTAAAGAATAGTAGTTGAGTGAGTATTTATATGACTAATGAACATGAAAAGGTAGTCTTGATCCTCTGATAAAGACATTCAGGTTAAAGTGAAGACCTTTTTACTTATCATATTTCTAAAAATTAATAATGCATCCAATGCTTACAAGAGTGGGAGGTAGTAGATGGGAGGGAAATTTGGCAATACACAGTAAAACATAGAGTGGGTCTGTCCTTTAACCCTGCAGTTCCACCAGTGCAAGTGTACCCTCAAGAGATGCTCACAGAAATACAGACATGATGGGGAGAAGTGCCTTTTGTAGTATTGTATGTAATATGAGAAATGGAAACATCCAAAATATCTGTCGTGATCCAATCAGGGTGGAATTTTAGGCCATCTTTATGGAAATAGGTCCATTATGCGTTATTGAATTTTAAAAATTGCCTCTGTGTGTGTGTGTGTGTGTGTGTGTGTGTGTGTGTGTGTGTGTGTGTGTATGATGATTATGCTTCTGTTTAAAATTTGAAGATTTTTATGTGTTTATCTGTGCATAGAAGTGATCTGGAAAGGTAAAACCTGTAACTATTAAGAGTGTGGGATTGGAAGGTGAAGTGTGAAAGTAGTTTTAATTTTACTTTTATTCGTTTCTGGGATTTTTTGGAGGATAAGGATTGTCAAATGTATGTATCTATATTTTCTTTTATAATCTGAATATACACAGCCTTATATTATCCCCTCACCTCCAAGTATCTGCCAACATAATGATAAATTATTGAACATACTCCTGAGAGAATTCTTGTTCTCATTTAGAAACAATTTATTGTAACTATGCCTTTGTTCATACCTGTAGCATTTCAGTTGAGGGCTAGTGGGGAAAGAAGGTCCTGGTTTACAATGCCAAAATATTTCTTCATTTGAACTGAGATTATTTCTGAAGAGCTCAGGAAGAAGCTACAAAGTTTCAGCTCTAGTATGCAACTCTGGAAGAGGAAGGTGGAACTTTTCACAGAAATAAAGCTGTCCCCTCAAGAATAACTCACCTATAGAAATAATTATAGGAAACCATTGAGCTTCATAGGGTTTTCAATTCAAATAGAATCAGAGCTCTTTTTTGGAAGAGGAGTGTGGCATGTTGACATTTTATTTTGCATAAGTACCAAAGCCAGTGTAAAGAGAAGAGTAGGACATAAATTCTAACTATCAGAGACGTGAATGCCAATATTCTCTTTACTCAAAGACCCAGGAAGTGGGATAGAGGCAGCATGATGTAGTAAAAAGTATATTGGCTCTGAAGTCAGTCAAAATATAGTCCTGGCTGCCACTTAGTAGCTCCGTGATTCCCTTTCCTTGTCTGTAAACTGGGGTGATAAATGGTTGGAGGATTAGAGTTAGTGGAATGTACTAAGCATATTAACATTGTAAGAGCTCAACAAATGGTAACTGATAGTTTTTACTTGGCGTGAAAGAAGAATAAAGAACTGTTTCATCTCCTTCACTAGACCCTTATGTTTCCTGAGTTTGTTAATACGTCAGTATTTTTGAGGCCAAATTCTCAAATTAGATTATATGCTACCGGATTAACAGTTTATTGATACACTTGTTCATTCATTAAAAAAAAAAAAAAAAAAAAAAAGTTGAGCTTTAAATACCAGGCGTTACTCTAGGTCTTGGGAACATATCAGTGCTTAAAAAAGACAAGGTGTGTGTTGTCAACTCACACATTTTTGTCTCTGACTCGGACTTCTCCCTTGAACTCAGATTTATACATGTAACCACCTATTTGTCATCTATACTTGGGTGCCTAGTGAGAATCTCAAAGTTCTTTTTCATTCCATGCTTTGCTGGGGTATCACCAGTGAGGGAGCTGGGACACCACAGTGTGCCTTTGTTGTCCTAATAAATACCCATGTAGTCAAATAGTCAGGATATAATACAACATTGTCATTCTTCATAATTCTTAAAAGAGTATAGCACCAGTTTTGGCATGTAACTTTTAGTTATTTTGATTTGCCTGTATATGTCCTGAGAGAATGTTATAGAAGTTGTAAAATGCCTATTTGCAAGATGAAAATGCAAACATATGAAGTAAGTGCTTCAATAATGAACTGATAGCAGTATATTTTTTTCTGTTCCAGAAAACACCAGTTTGATCATGGAGAGGTAAAGACTTAATATTACTATAATTTTACTTATCTTAAAGTTGCATGTATTTAGACTTCCCTTTCTAGTTCCAGTTTCTAACTTTGTTGGCAGTTGTCAGTAATCATCTTGAAAATAGCCTGGTATTATGTGTTTTATGAGAATGCTACATACATGCAGATTGACTGACCATTCATTTGTTAAAATTTACTTGAAAACCCATTTGTTCTGCTGTGATCATCTTTACGCTAATAGTAGTTGATTTCTAGAGCCCATTTAGACATACATGTGAGGTGTCTTTTGCATGATTGGAAATCACTTTCCTCTCTGCTCACCTTGCTTGAAGCTTCAGAGATGTGATTGGTTACTACTACTCCCATCTCCTACTGGTCCAGCCTGGTTTTGAGGCCGGTTCCAAGGTAGAGTCCTCAGATCTTGAGGCAGCAGTAGTTTCTTTTACCACTTTCTATTTTTGATCCAATGGTTGCATCAAGGTAGATTCAGAAATGTGGGCTTTATTAACAACAGATTTGACTCTGAGAATCGCAGAAACACTTGCCTTAATGACTATATAATTTTAGCCTTCCACTAAAATGGAACCATTTGAAAGTGAATTTTAAGAATTGTTTTAGAAATTTCAGAAACCAAAGGAGTATTAGTTTTTGTTACTAAGGAGAGCGTACTCTTTTCTGCATACTGCCAGCTTAGTATTCTTAAACTTCACAAACAGTAGGAGTAAAAAATATTTTCTTTTTTCTTTCAGCTGGTCTATCATGCTTTGCAATTGTTAGCATATACAGCCCTTGGTATTTTAATTATGAGACTAAAACTCTTCTTGACACCCCACATGTGTGTTATGGCATCACTGATCTGCTCAAGACAGGTAACATGTTATGTTGGAGTATAGCTACGATGATAATTCTAGCCTTTATTATTGAGTGGCCCTAAAATAATGAATTACAAAGTCTTTTAAGTGATTATAGTTAAAGCTCTTTATGGTTTTGTACTTATCTTTCTTAAAGGGCAAGGAGGGCCAAAGCTGATCATTTTCTGTCTTTCTAAAGACTTCTACACTAGTTGTTGGTGTACAGCAAACACTGATTTAGTACAGGCTGAGTTCATGAGAGATTACTGCAGGTGCTGATGGAAAGCAGAGCTTAATTGTACAAATAATAACTTTTTTGTTGTGACATTCATATCACAAAGAATTCTAATAATTGATTTCAAGTTATAAGTGCTTGCAAATTATATGTTCTTTTTTTAGTGTCAAACTTGAACCTTTTTTTTTTTTCACTCATTTGGTGCACATTTGTGTGCACATTGTTGACTTGTGCTTTTTAAAATTTAGTTTAAGCCTTCTGTGGTAGTTTTCTGCTTATTTTTCCTGGTAATTGCCTCCTTGCTCTGTATTCACAGATTTTTATGCCTCTCCGTAGTGTTGCCTTTCCGTTAGTCAACCCACCTAGGTACAATAGCAGCACCTCTCTTAAACATAGCAGATATTCACTAGGCACCTACACTGTGCACTCTAGGATGTGAGATAGAGTAGTGGACAGAAAAGTTGAAAAAAACCCAGTGTTTATAAGCCCTCAGGAAACTTGAAATCTAGCTCTGCAGACATTTAGAGAAAGATCAGGAGAACCAAGTGTTGTTGTGGAGTGTGGACTATTTGAATATGGAAAAAATTAGCCAGCCTCGAAGTTCCCAATCAGAATGTTATATTATGATAAAAGGGCACTGCTTTTCACTTTTCTGACTCCTTCAGGCTGGCACAGGAAAGGAGGCTGGGTGGAATCCTTTAATCTTGAGTCTTATTCTGCAGCATGACTAATATAGGTTGGTGCAAACGTAACTGCAGGTTTTGCTATTTTAATGACAAAACCCGCCATTACTTTTACACCAACCAGATAGAAAGGGTCATCCAGGGCAGGTTTTGCAAGTGTGGGGTTTCTGCTGTCACACAGGGCCTTGCGTTCAGAAGGACCCTGAACTTGGTTGAATATTTGCTGCTGCTGTTTTGAACTTCTTAGTAATTTTTGAACAAGGGACCCCACATTTTTGTTTTGCCCTGGGCCTTGTACATTGTGTCGGTGGGTATGGCTTTACTTGAATTTGAGAGTAGAGAAAGCAGATTGAGAAAAGAGCTTTCTATATTGTGTTCCACTTACATAAGACTCATGGTAGAATTCTTTTGATCCCAAAGATTATATTTTGGGGCTTTTTCTTTTGGATAATTAATCCTTTATCTAGGCCTCTAGCAGAGGCCACATTCTTCTCTGGGAAGAATTTTTGCATAATAGATGCAACTACTTTATACTAACAATTACCAATATATTCTCAATTTGGTTTCAGCTATTTGGATGGCTCTTTTGCAAAGTACATCCTGGTGCTGTTGTTTTTGCTATATTAGCAGCTATGTCAATACAAGGTTCAGCAAATCTGCAAACCCAGTGGAATATTGTAGGGGAGTTCAGCAATTTGCCACAAGAAGAACTGATAGAATGGATCAAATATAGTACTAAACCAGGTAAAAAAAATTTCATATTATTTAGCTGTTTTTCCCACAATTTTATATACCAGTACAAACTCTTAAACCCAAGTTACCTCCAGTAATCTTACTCTTTCTAAGCAGTGTTGCTTTTAGAATATCCGAAACAAAGGAGATAATAATCCTGCTTAAATAGCTTGCAGGCAAAAGTTGAATATACGTTCTTAGTAATTTATTCTGCTATTTTTTAAATTGTACTTTAAGTTCTGGGATACATGTGCAGAACATGCAGGTTTGTTACGTAGGGATACACGTGCCATGGTGGTTGGCTGCATCCATCACCCCATCATCTACCTTAGGTATTTCTCCTTTTGCTATCCCTCCCCTAGGTCTCCACCACCCGTGGGTCCCAGTATGTGATGTTCCCTTCCCTGTGTCCATGTGTCCTCATTGTTCAACTCCGACTTATGAGTGAGAACATGTAGTGTTTTGTTTTCTGTTCTTGTGTTAGTTTGCTGAGAATGATGATTTCCAGCTTCATCCATGTCCATCCAAAGGACATGAACTCATTCTTTTTTTATGACTGCATGGTATTCCATGGTGTATATGTGCCACATTTTCTTTATCCAAGCTATCATTGATGGGCATTTGGGTAGGTTCCAAGCCTTTGCTATGTGAACAGTACTGCAATAAACATATGTGTGCATGTGTGTTTGTAATAGAACGATTTATAATTCTTTGGTTATATACCCAGTAATGGAATTGCTGGGTCAAATGATATTTCTAGTTCTAGATCCTTGAGGAATGGCCACACTGTCTTCCACAATGGTTGAACTAATTTATACTACCACCAACAGTGTAAAAGTGTTCCTATTTCTCCACATCCTCTCCATCGTCTGTTGTCTCCTGACTTTTTAATCATTGCCATTCTAACTGGCGTGAGATGATATCTCATTGTGGTTTTAATTTGTATTTCTCTATTGACCAGTGATGATGAGCTTTTTTTCATATGTTTGTTGGCTGCATAAAAGTCTCCTTTTGAGAAGTGTTTGTTCATATCCTTCGCCTACTTCTTGATGGGGTTGTTTGTTTCCTGTAAATTTGTTTAAGTTCTTTGTAGATTCTGGATACCAGCCCTTTGTCAGATGAGTAGACTGCAAAATTTTTCTCCCATTCTGTAGGTTGCCTGTTCACTCTGATGATAGTTTCTTTTGCTGTGCAGAAGCTCTTTAGTTTATTTAGATCCCATTTGTCTATTTTGTTACCGTTCCTTTTGGTGTTTTAGTCGTGAAGTCTTTGCCCATGCCAGTGTCCTGAATGGTATTGCCTAGGTTTTCTTTTAGGGTTGTTATGGTTTTAGGTCTTATGTTTAAGTCTTTAATCCATCTTGAGTTAATTTTTGTATAAGGTGTAAGGAAGGGATCCAGTTTCAATTTTCTGCGTGTGGCTAGCCAGTTTTCCCAACACCATTTATTAAATAGGGAATTCTTTTCCCATTGCTGAGGGTGTGTGGTGTTATTTCTGAGGCCTCTATTCTATGTTCCATTGGTGTATTTATGTGTTTTGGTACTGGTACCATACTGTTTTGGTTACTGTAGGCTTGTAGTATAGTTTGAAGTCAGGTAGCATGATGCCTCCAGCTTTGTTTTTTGTTGTCGTTGTTGTTGTTGTTGTTGTTTTTGCTTATAATTGTCTTGGCTATGCGGGCTCTTTTTTGGTTCCATGTGAAATTTAAGGTGTTTTTTTCCAATTCTATGAAGAAAGTCAGTGGTAGCTTGATAAGGATAGCATTGACTCTATAGATTACTTTGGGGAATATGGCCATTTTCACAATATTGATTCTTCCTAACCATGAGCATGGAATGTTTTTCCATATGTTTGTGTCCTCTCTTATTTCCTTGAGCAGTGGTTTGTAGCTCTCCTTGAAGAGATCCTTCATATCCCTTGTAAGTTGTATTCCTAGGTATTTTATTCTCTTTGTAGCAATTGTGAATGGGAGTTCATTCATGTTTCTCGGTTTCTCTGTTGTTGGTGTATAATAATGCCAGTGATTTTTGCACATTGATTTTGTATCCTGAGACTTTGCTGAAGTTACTTATCAGTATAAGGAGATTTGGGCTGAGACAATGGAGTCTTCTAAATATACAATCATATCATCTGCAAATAGAGACAATTTGACCTCCTCTTTACCTATTTGAATACCCTTTCTTTCTTTCTTTTGCCTGATTGCCCTGGCCGAAACTTCCAATACTGTGTTGAATAGGAGTTGTGAGAGAGGACATCTTTGTCTTGTGCCAGTTTTCAAAGGGAATGCTTCCTGTTTTTGCCCATTCAGTATGATATTAGCTGTGAATTTGTCATAAATAGCTCTTATTATTTTGAGATACATTCCATCAATACCATTGAGAGTTTTTAGCATGAAGCGTTGTAGAATTTTGTCGAAGGCCTTCTCTGATCTATTGAGATAATTGTGGTTTTTGTCTTTGGTTCTGTTTACATGGTGAATTATGTTTATTGATTTGCGTATGTTGAACCAGCCTTGCATCCTAGGGATGAAGCCGACTTGATCTTGATGGATAAGCTTCTTGATGTGCTGTTGGATTCAGTTTTTTGCCAGTATATTATTGAGGATTTTTGCATCGATGTTCATCAGGGATATTGGCCTGAAATTTTCTTTTTTAGTTGTGTCTCTGCCAGATTTTGGTATCAGGATGATGTTGGCCTCATAAAATGGGGTAGAGAAGATTCCCTCTTTTGCTATTGTTTCAGATAGTTTCAGAAGGAATGATACCAGCTCTTCTTTGTACTTCTGGTAGAATTCAGCTGTGAAACCATCTAGTCTTGAACTTTCTTTGGTTGGTAGGCTATTAATTGCAGCCTCAATTTCAAACCTTGTTATTGATCTATTCAGGGATTTGACTTCTTCCTGGTTTAGTCTTGGGAGGGTATAAGTGTCCAGGAATTTATCAATTGCTTCTAGATTTTCTGTTTTATATACATAGAGGTGTTTATAGTATTCTCTGATGGTAATTTGTATTTCTATGGGATCAATGGTGATACTGCCTTTATCATTTTTTATTACATCTGTTTGATTCTTCTCTCTTTTCTTCTTTATTAGTCTGGCTAGTGGTCTATCTGTTTTATTGATCTTTTTTAAAAAAACCAGATCCTGGATTCACTGATTTTTTTTTTTTGAAGGGTTTTTTTGTGTCTCTGTCTCCTTCAGTTCTACTCTGATATTAGTTATTTCTTGCCTTCTGCTGGCTTTTGAATTTGTTTGTTCATGCTTCTCTAGTTCTTTTAATTGTGATGTTAGGGTATCAATTTTAGATTTTTCTGCTTTCTCTGTTGGGCATTTAGTGCTATAAATTTCCCTCTACATACTACTTTAAATGTTTCCCAAAAATTCTGCTACTTTGTGTCTTCTCATTGGTTTCAAAGAACACCTTCATTTCTGCCTTTATTTTGTTATTTATCCAGTAGTCATTTAGGAGCAGGTTGTTCTGTTTCCATGTAGTTTTGCAGTTTTGAGTGAGTTTCTTAATCCGAGTTCTAATTTGATTGTGCTGTGGTCTGAGAAACTGTTTGTTTTGATTTCTGTTCTTTTGCATTTGCTGAGGAGTGTTTTACTTCCAATTGTGTGGTTAATTTTAGAATAGGTGCAATGTGGTGCTGAGAAGAATGTATATTCTGTTGATTTGGGGTGGAGAGTTCTGTAGATGTCTGTTAGGTCCATTTGGTCCAGAGCTGAGTTCAAGTCCTGGATATATTTGTTAATTTTCTGTTTTGTTGGTCTGTCTAATATTGACAGTGGAATGTTAAAGTCTCCCACTATTACTGTGTGGAAGCCTTAAGTCTCTTTGTAGGTCTCTAAGAGCTTGCTTTATGTATCTAGGTGCTCCTGCCTTGGGTGCATATATATTTAGGATAGTGCTCCTTGTTGCATTGATCCCTTTATTATGATGGTTTAAAGTCTGTTTTATCAGAGACTAGGATGCAATCCCTGTTTGTTTGTGTTTTTTTTTTTTTTCTTGCTATTTGCTTGGTAAATCTTTCTCCATTACTTTATTTTAAGCCTATGTGTATCTTTGCACATGAAATGGGTCTCCTGATACAGCACACTGATGGGTCTTGACTCTTTTTCCAATTTTTCAGTCTGTGGGCATTTAGCCCATTTACATTTAAGGTTAATATTGTTATGTGTGAATTTGATCCTGCCATTATGATCCTAGCTGATAATTTTGCTCATTAGTTGATGGAGTTTCTTCCTAGCGTCAATTTACAATTTGGTATGTTTTTGCAGTGGCTGGTACTGGTTGTTCCTTTTCATGTATAGTGCTTCCTTCAGGAGCTCTTGTAGGGCAGGCCTGGTGGAGACAAAATCTCTCAGCATTTGCTTGTCTGTAAAGGGTTTTATTTCTCCTTCACTTATGAAGCTTAGTTTGGCTGGATATGAAATTCTAGGTTGAAAGTTCTTTTCTTTAAGAACGTTAAATACTGACCTCCACTCTCTTCTGGCTTGTAGGGTTTCTGCAGAGAGATCTGCTTTTAGTCTAATTGGCTTCCCTTTGTGGATAACCCGACCTTTTTCTCTGGCTGCCCTTAACATTTTTTCCTTCATTTCAGCCTTGGTGAATCTGACGATTATGTGTCTTTGGGTTGCTTTTCTTGAGGAATATCTTTGTGGTGTTCTTTGTATTTCCTAAATTTGAATGTTGGCTTTCCTTGTTAGATAGGGAAGTTCTCCTGGATAATATTCTGAAGAGTGTTTTCCAACCTGGTTTCATTCTCTCTGTCACTTTTAGGTACATCGATCAAACATAGATTTGGTCTTTTCATGTAATCTCATATTTCTTGGAGGCTTTGTTCATTTCTTTTCACTCTTTTTCTTTCTCTATTCTTGTCTTCCTGCTCTATTTCGTTGAGTTGATCTTCAATCTCTGATATCCTCCTTTCTTCTGTTTGATTAATTCAGCTATTGAAACTTGTGTATGCTTCACGAAGTTCTTGTGCTGTGTTTTTCATCTCCGTCAGATCGTTCATGTTCTTCTCTAAACTGGTTATTCTAGTTAGCATTTCGTCTAACCTTTATTCAAGGTTCTTAGCTTACTTGCATTGGGTTAGAACATGCTCATTTAACTCAGAGAAGTTTGTTATTACCCACATTCTGAAGCCTGCTTCTGTCAGTTTGTCAGGCTCATTCTCCATCCAGTTTTGTTCCCTTGCTGGTGAGGAGCTGTGATCCCTTCAAGAAGAGGTGTTCTCGTTTTTGGAGTTTTCAGCCTTTTTGCGCTTGTTTCTTCCATCTTTGTGGATTTATCTTCCTTTGGTTTATGAAGTTGGTGACCTTTTGATGGAGTCTCTGAGTGGATGTCCTTTTTGTTGATGTTGAAACTATTTCTTTCTGTTTATTAGTTTTCCTTCTAACAGTCAGGCCCCTCTGATGCAGGTCTGCTGGGGTTTGCTCGAGGTCCACTCCAGACCCTGCTTGCCTGGGAATCACCAGTGGAGACTACAGAATAGCAAAGATTGCTGCCTGTTCCTTCCTCTGGTAGCTTCATCCCATAGGGGTACCTGCCAGATGCCAGCCAGAGCTGTTCCATATGAGGTGTCTCCCAGTCAGGGTACATGGGGGTCAGGGAGCTACTTGAGGCAGTCTGTCCCTTATCAGAGCTAAAACACTGTGTTGGGAAATCTGCTGTTCTCTTCAGAGCCTGGGATGTTTAGGTCTGCTGAAGCTGTACCCACTACTGCTCTTTTTCCCAGGTGTTCTGTCCCAGGAAGGTGGGGGCTTTATTTATAAGTCCCTGATGGGCTGCTGCCTTTTTTCAGAGATGCTCTGCCCAGCAAAGACATCTAGTGAGACAGTGCCTACAGCTGCTGATCTGTGTTGGGCCCTGCCCAGATGGGTTTTTCCGGCAGCTTTGCTTATAGTGTGGGGTTGAAACCACCTACTCAAACCTCAGCAATGGTGGATGCCCCTCCTCCCCACCAAGCTCGAAGGACTCAGGTCAAGCTCAGATTGCTGTGCTGGCTGTGAGAATTTCAAGCCAGTGGATTGTAGCTTGCTGGTCACCTTGGGGGTAGGACCCGCTAAGCCAGGCAACTTGGCTCCCTGGCTTCAGCCCCCTTTCCAGGGGAGTGAACAATTTTATCTTGCTGGCATTCCAGGTGCCAATGGGGTATGAAAAAGAAAACTGCTGTGGCTAGCTCGGTTTCTGCCCAAATGGCCATCCAGTTTTCTGCTGAAAACCCAGGGCCCAGATGAATGTGTAGGTACCAGAGGGAATCTCCGTGTCTGCGGGTTGTGAAGACCATGAGAAAAGCACAGTATCTGGGCCAGAGTGCAGGAAACAGCCCCAAATGGCTTCCCTTGGCTAGGGGACAGAGATTCCTCGGCCCCTTGCACTTCCCGGGTGAGGCGGTGCCCCACCCTGCTTCAGCTTACCCTCCTTGGGCTGCACCCACTGTCCAGCTAGTCTCAATGAACCAGGTACCTCAGTTGAAAATGTAGAAATCACCCACCTTCTATGTCGATCTCGCTGGGAGCTGCGCACCAGAGCTGTTCCTATTTGGCCATCTTGCCTGGGGATGATTCTGCCATTTTTATAAATTTTAATTTTTTCAAAATTTATTCACAGTCATAAATGCACATTTAAAATAATTTTTTCTATGCTTATTTTCTTAGTGAATTTTTAATATTAGTTCTTCACATTCCATCTTGAAATAAACTCATGGAATGTGATACTTCATTCATGCGTAGAAGGGAAGACTTTCTCATCATCTGTGTATCAAAAGATTGAATGCTAAATCATCTTCCAGAATTCCTTGTTACTTTAAAGCTTTCCTAGTCCATTTGATACTTCTTTTCTAGATTCAGGAAAGATTTCTGAGATTTTTTTTTTTTTAATGAGATGACGAAGCTCTATTTTCCAAGAAAAATCGTTTACCCAGGCCTGGTTGCCAACTGCTATTTTATCAGCCATCTGACTTAGTAGTTCTGCCATTGAATCCTGAAGTCATGAACCTTGCTGGGCCTCTGCTTTGTTACTTATGAAATAATTGATTTAAACTTGAAGGAGACCCCTTCTCACACTTATTGAATGTCATCCTGAGACCTTCCTCTTGTTTTCTAGATGCAGTGTTTGCAGGTGCCATGCCCACGATGGCAAGTGTTAAGCTGTCTGCACTTCGACCCATTGTGAATCATCCACATTATGAAGATGCAGGCTTGAGGTCAGTGCACAGTCTCACATCACCAAAAACAAACCTTCCATGCAAACAGACAGTGAGTGGAGGACACCAGCAAACTAATGTTCCAAAAGAATATGATGAACTGAGATTTATCGAGCTGGAGAGCAGAAAGCTGAAATAAGACTGCTAAGCACTAAACAAATCTGTTAAGACTGCAGAGGGCAAGGAAATGACAGCTTTCAGGGCTATCTTATCTATCAGGCAGAAAGAAGTCATACTATAACACTTTCCCACAGGTTAACGAGGCTCTGAAATGTCCAGGTCCTTTTCATCCTGTAACTCCCTGAAGAGCTTCGCTTAGAGTGTTTATTAAGGTTTTCTCATAGGTGATTTTTCTTGAGTTTGGAGAAGTCATTTGAAATAGAATCCCATTCAAAGGGGAGTTTATTCTGGTTTTCACCAGTATAGCCTGTTAGAATGAACTTCTGTGTTTTCTATTTTTTTAGATTTTTTTGAGACTTTAAAAAATAATTTAGAGACGTGTTATCTAAATTATTTTTTAAAAAAGATTTAATTTTTCATGCAATTTCTAAGGCAGGTGATGCTATTCATTTCCTAAGTGATTAGGGGAATCTTTTTTTTTTTTTTTTTTTTTTTTTTTTTTTTTTTTTTTT